TGTCGCTGCCGCTGATGGTGTTCTGGCAGATCTCGTTGGGCTCGGTCATGACCTTCACCCCGGCGTACTCGTTGTTCTCGAGGATGTTGCAGTACACCTGGGGAAGCGGGCAAGGAGAGGGCGTGGCGTGGGGGGGCGGGGGGAGGAAACGCGTGATTTTCAATGGCAGCGGAAGCGTGGACGGGAGTAATAGCGTCATGGCAATCACAACAAGAGCAAACAACCGCCTGACGCGTATCTGGTTGGGGCGGTCGCTCACTGCCATATTTTCTCTTTTCCTCCCATCTCAGATTCCTATATCTCAGATGTCCCGCGTTCTGTTTTCGGGTACATTGGTTGTGTTAGCGACATCATGTTGATGCTTAAGAAAAACAAAACGCCGCGCGCACGCGCACGCACCTTGCAGTTGACGCCGTACTGCTCGCGGCCGACCTTGTGCCCGCCGAGGCGCACGCCGGCGCCCTTGCAGCCCACCACCTTGTTGTAGCGGATGGTCGTGGAGCTGGCGCGCGAGTCGATGCCCGCAGATTCCTCGTCCAGCTGTCCGGTGCAGTAGTTGGTCTCGATGACGGTGTCCACCGCGCCCTCCTTCACGTCCACGCACTCGTTACCCTGTTTTTTTCGTGGATTTTAGATCGAGAAAGATGTAAAAAAAGATAAGTTATCGGGTTTTTTACTCGTGTACACTTTAAAAATACACTTGATCGTACGGAATACCCTCCCTCACGTCCACGCACTTTTATATACTCTTTACTTCATCGTACGGAATATCCCCCCCACGTGAACGCACGCGCTTTAAATCGACCGACCATCTCCCAATTGTAATGATTGCTTGCAGAGTAAGACTTTCCGTGGGGGCATCACCGAAAAGCCTTTGTGTGTCCGTATTACGGCCCAAGATCTTCACACATGAGCGAGCCCCCCCCCCAAAAAAAAAAAAATTACTGTGGCGAATCTCCCACAGGCTGTGCTAAGACGAAGACAAGAGGATCGGCACTGCTGTTGTACTCACGTGTGTGTCGATGTAGTTTTCGTAGATGCGGGTCCAGCGGCAGATGTCCGGCTCGTCAGTCACGTTCTTGCTCCACTGCTTGCTTGAGGTGCCGACGTCTGAACCAAGCCAATGGACAAGGACGATACGGGAGTGGTATGGAATGATACCATTGCGGGACGAGGAGGGAGAGGAGGGCAAGGGTCGGGTCAGATGCGCAGGTGCGGCAACATATGGAGGGAGTAGGCCTACTCCACTACAGATGGTTCTTTTCGTTGCAATTTTTTGTAGCCCCAAAGGAGAAACACACCACGGGAAGGAGGGATGCCTCGCCCAAAAAATACTGCCGCGGCCCATCATGCGCTGCTCCTGAAAGTATCCCCGCAACACACTAATTACCTCCGGAAAAACGCACCAAAAAGCACAACACACAAGAAGAATTACCTCCGGAAAAACGCACCAGATCGAACAAAGAAAAAGCGCAACACACAAGAATTACCTCCGGAAAAACGAACCAGATCGACAAAAAAAAAAGCACAAAACACAAGAATTACCTCCGGAAAAACGCACCAGATCGAACAAAAAAAAAGCACAACACACAAGAATTACCTCCGGAAAAACGCACCAAATCGAACTAAAAAAGACCACACAGCAAGAACGACGTTTGGAACACACAACTCACAGATGCCCTCTCCGTTCTTGACGCCGTGGTCACCCTCGTCGAACTTGAAGTCGTAGCAGCCGGTGGAGGTGATGCGGTTGTGGAAGAGGACGCAGTTGGTGACGAAGTACCGGATGCGGATGCCCTCGCCGCCGCAGTTGTAGATCTTCATGTTCTTGACGACAACGCCGTCGACCGCGGACTTGTACGCGACGCCCTTCTCGTTGGTGTGGTCACGGGGCTGGCGGTTGCCTGGGAAGCGGGGGGCGGGGGCGGGGAGGGGGGGCATAGAGTAAGAGCGGGGAGGGAGCGTACTCGTGTTGTAAGCTGACAAGGTAAAAAAGGCTCGACGTCCTCTCTTCTACCAAAAAGATATCTACCACAAGGTCTAAAGAAGAAGATATCTACCACAAGGTCTAAAGAAGAGTACGTAGCCGCTGTTCGGCACCTAGGATGCTTGCTACTCCTGCGTTCGGGGCTGCACCCCTTGCTACGTTTGGCCGAAACGGCATTTTCCATCCATGTGTTGTCTCTTCCTCTCTCACTCACCCCTGACGGCGAGGCACTTGGCACGGAAGCACTCCCTCACGTTGTCCTTGTTGCAGTCCTCTTTGATCAGTCCGTCGATCGTGAAGTCCTGCACAGCAGCGAAAGTACATATAGGTGTCATCGAGAGGGGGGGGGGGGGGGGGGGGGGGAACCCCCCTTAAAAAATTTTTTAACAAAAAAAAAAAAATCCCCCCCTTTTCCCTTTTTTAACCCAAAGGCTTTTCTTAAAAAAAAAGGTTTAAAAAAAAAAAAAAGGGCCCCCCTTTTTCTTGGGGGAAAGAAAGGCTTTACACCCAAACCAAAGGGGAAGGCTTTTTTTTTAAAAATTCCAAAAAATAAAAAAACAAAAAGGGCAAAAAAAACA